CAGACAGACGCTAAAATGAGACTCCATGCTAAACATTCATAGTGCCTTTCAGAAATCCTTAAAGCAGGGGTGGGCATTTCCAGTTCCTGAGGATTGGTTTCCTGCAACTTTTAGATGTGCCTTTGGTTCAACCCACCTGAATCAAGTAATTAGATGATTGAGAGGATGCTGGAGGAGCTGACAAAATACTGACGAGGTAACTCAGCTGTTTGATTCAGGTTTGTTGGACCAAGGATGGATCTAAAAATTACAGGATACTGGAACTGGAATTCCCCACCCCTGCCTTAAAGGGAAGGATCTGACTGTTTTATCAGTGAATTTGGAGATTTTAGGTTGCACAAAAACACAAAGTAAAAATTCATTACTTCAAATCTGTATCACGGAGTTCATTTATAGTCCACTCGTTTATGTGAACAGATCGTGATTGATCTGCAGACCTTCCAGGACACGATCGTCCACCAAACCATTAATGGGGTCCCGGACCACCTCTAAAGGTGCTGCAGGTGTAACTGCAGTGACGCTGTTGATGCTTAAAAGATGACTTCCTTTTTCAGGATAAGAGCGTTTCAGCAATTAAGAGGTTAATGGGACTAAAGCATGGCTACCCTGGAAGAAAACCTGTTAGGGGTTGTAGAAAAGTGGAGGTTTATCTTACAGAGGGATAAGAGCTTCAATGGGTTGTTTATATCCAAATATATTCATGCATTAGAATGATCTAGTCAAAGTCCAGACCAAAATCCAATTAAAAATATGGGGAAAGACCTAAAAATCTATTTGATCGAGTGTGAGCCACTATTGGGAAAACTGATTTTAAAGATTTAGTCACATAGCAGAGAGTAAACCAGAGGCAGGTCCATCAAATATTAACCAAAGGCAGCTCAATAAATAGCTACCCAATCCTTTTCAGTTTTTTTTGTAAACAAATTTAGCTGGGATAGTTACACAAAAATGTGAAAAGGATCAAACGGTGTGAAGGCACTATGTGGCATGGCAGTAACTCACTTGTCTTCGTCGCTCCTGGGTTCCTCTTTGATGATGGGGAACAGAGGTTCGCTTTCCACTCCCTGTTCTTGTTTCAGTTTGAACAGCTTCTGACGCAGCACATCCTGATGGCGCTCTCTCAGCCTGCGGATTTAAAATCACAACATAATGTACTTGCACCAAACTAACCTTCACAGGCAGCCTTTTTCTATATTTCTGTGTTAACAGAAAGCACCCTCTCACCTGGCTCTAGCCATGTAGACCCGAACTTGCTGCAGCAGACTCTCCCAGTACCCGATATCGAGATTGGACCCCCCTGCACGGATCTTTCCCTCGATGTTCAGGTGCAGTGCCTGCAGCTGACTGTAGGTTTTTCCTTTGAACACGGACTGGACGTCAGTGCTAACAGCTGTGTTGATGCCCTCACGTCGATCACCTGAAGGTCAAAGCAAAGTATAAGGTTTTAAAGATCTGCAATCGATTAACTGTTGACAAACGCAGCTATAGAAAGAAATTATTTTTGAATATTTATGCTTCAATTACAGAAATAGCTAAGCACCTAATTTTACCCCCCCAACACATTCAGTTTATGCTTTAGCGACTAAAGCTTGGTGCATAACTCATTTAAAAGATATGGATGAGCAAAGCTTTCTAAAAAAATACATAGATAGGATAAATGAAGTGGGACAACTGCACTACGTTTATGGTAAACAGTTAAAAATTGCAGTTTGATCAATCTAAGGCTGCAGAAACAAACCCTCCACAACATAAAATGAAGAGTATCCAAGTGGCTTTGTTCATTCGGAGGAAATGAAGGAAATAACTGTTTAGTTCAACAAAATAAAAAGGCTCAATTTTCACCAACAACATCAGGACTCTTTCAATAATAAATAATTCTTCTGTTAGTCATTTTCTATATGGACGCTGCTGGACTATGATGTCTGTACCAGGTCCTTTCCCAGATGCCTCCAGTTTCCTCAGCTTGCTGATCTCATCCTCTGTGATGGTGGTCATGTCTCTCCAGAAGTCCACATTCTTGCCCTGCTCCAGCTCCATGTACACCTTTCAGACAGAGCGCCATAAAAAGTTTATTAAAAAGGTGAAAGCACACCTTAACATACTGTTCAAAACAAACCAGCCTGTGAAACAACTAAAGAAAAAACAAATGATATCTGAGACCGAATTTTAAAACAACCTACATGTCTTGATTATCCAAACTCTACGTTACCGTTTGGCAGGAGATTAAAAACCGCAGATATATCAACTGGAGATGAGTGAAAATTAGGGCTGGGTATTTTCACCAAAGTCCGATTAAATCGATTTTTTTTACCCAGCCCTAGTAAAAATCATCCCTAAAAACCTTCTGAAGCTTTTATAGGATCTTACTGATGTATATTAAAAGGTAAGGAATAAAAATGGATATAAAAGCATAAACAAAAACGTTGCTTTCTTAATACAGCTTTGGTTTGGATTAAGGTTCTGGGCAAATTTATAGCAGGACTGTTTTAATCTGTACTGTGGGTTTAAAACCTTAGTGACCAAAGAACTTTTTTTGCAGTTTTTTGAAGAAGAATTGCAAAAAAATAAATTGTACATTTTAAAAACCGCTGTTCTCTTTTTTTAAACAATCAATCATTAAATGACAGTTTTAAAGTCCAGTCCCTGACTTAACCCAAAAAATAAAGAGAAGGTTCCAGATTCCTTCTTCAGATAATAATCCCCACAGAATGATGATGCCTAAAAAAATCCTTCTGGTTTTAAATCCTTTTTTTATTAGTCTTATTCTGCAAAGATTTCATGAGCTCAAAGACACATTTTGAGCTCTGATCATGGCTGACCTTTATGTCCTCTAGCAGATCATCCATGTCGGTGACAGTCAGTCCATTCAGGAAGGTATAAGGTTCATGCATCTCCACAGCCAGATCGTCATCCTCTGCACTGATGTACTTCGCCAGCAGGTCAATGGGCTTTGCACGGCCATCCCGAATCCTAATCTTGGACCTAATTTGACATTTTTGAACACCTAGGTCAATATAACTCAGCGTGTCGTAGATATCGGTTTTAAAATGGTACAGCTTACTAGCCTCAATTTGGCCTGTTGCAGATGGAAGTTGTCCTCCTGTTCAGCCCAGGTTTTGAAGTGTTCTGCCTCTTTCTCCCTCTGTAACATCTCCAGCTCCGTCTCTCTCATGGCTTTCTCCCGCTCCCGCTCCAGTCGCAGCTGTTTAACCTGAACAGGGACACCGCTGGCATGGTTAAACACATCGATCACAGCGACTCCATGTTTTGGGAAGTGCGCTGCTCAACTGCGCCTACCTTCTGCAGCTCTCTGCGGTTCTCCTCCTGAATACATTTGTTTCTTTCTTTGAGCTCTTTTTCACTGAGATGGCCGATGCCCTTCTTGACCAGTGCCTGAGAAACAAACACAGTAGTCATGATGAGAAGCAATGCTAAGGTTTAAAAATAAGGGGCTAAATCTCCCAAGTAAAGAACTCACTTTCTGCCATTTAAATGTGCCCAACAGGTTGTTGTCTCCAAAGGGGTTGTCGGCATTGGTGTATCCCATGTACTCTTCACTCCAGCCCATCTTTTCTCTTCTCTTCTTCTCTTTTGCTTCTTTCTTGGCCAGCCTTCTGGCTCTCTTCTCCTCTGGCGTCTCCAGGGCTTTCATCAGCTCCTTCTGTTTCTTCTTCTCCTCCTTCTCTTTCACCGCCAGGTTTTCATTATCTGAATCTGAACTCTCTGACGACTCAGAGGAACTGGAGGCCCGCCTTCTGCTGCTCCTACCAGTCCTCTCTTTGCTCCTCTTGCTCCTCTCGCGTTCCCTTTCTTTGCTCTTCTTCTTCTTCTTCCTCTCTCTACTTTTCCTTTCCCGGTCTCTGCTGCTGCTCTTCAATCGATCTTTGCTCTTTCTGCTTCTTGTTGGACTCCCTCGTTCAAGACTTTTTTTGCCCATCCTCCTCCCTCTATCGCTGCTTCCATCGCTGGAGTCCGAGCCAGATGGAGATCTTCCCTGTCTTCTCTCACGAGATCTTCGGTTGTCCATCTCCTTTCTCCTCCTCCTCATCTTGGAATTATCTGATTCAGGACTGAGTAGAAAAACAATTTTTGCAGGATTACTAAAGTTTAATAAATCATGCAAACCATGAATTAAACTAATAATAAAGATTGCATCAAATTTGATCACTGGAATGATGCAAAGAGAGGATAGAATTAGGCAGACTGTATTGATTTATGAGCTACTATGTTCAAAGTGATGAAACTACTAAAAAAATGCTGATACTTGTAATGTTTTTGAGAGACTTAATGTCTAACTAAAGTCCCTGCATACAGCAATCGAAGCTCTTACTATTTAACTAACTTGTTCAAATAGCACCTACATATTTACTAGTGGTGCAACGAATGAATATTTTTACGAGACTGGCTTTCGGCCGATACTTAGAAGTGAAACTGATAATTTCCACCGATTTTATCTAACTCTGCAAAGGTCTAGAAATCATCATCCACTGTCCACTGTCAATGCTCTAAACAGATTTATAGTTGTGAGAAGTTATTTTAGCAGTTTTTATTGTTTCACAGGTACTGGCTAATGACTTTCAATGAGATAAGATTGAAATATTGAAGGTTTCTTGGGATCTTATAACAACTTCTGCATCTTTAAAAATTGGAATCAGAATGTGAGGCTTTTTAAAGATCGCTGATCAGACAGAAACCCACTATTGGTGCATCCCTAATATTTACAATAATCCCTCAGTATGTCATTAAAAGTTGGAACATTTCTAGAAATAGATATCTTTCTGGCAGCTGTCTATAAGGGAAATTCAAAAAGGACACGTTCAAATAGTCAATTTAGAGCTTTAGGGTGAAAATAGCACAATTGATCTTCAAGAAAAGAGGTTAGACTGGATGGAGATAGAGGCACAGGAAAAAATTTAAGTGCCAAAATATCAGCTTTAATGTACAAATTGCTACACAATCAGTTCACATCACCATTATCATCAACATTATCAAAGATCACTTCTTTAAAAAATAACCTGAATGAAAAGTGAAGCTTCTGAACTTAAAACAAGTACTGTTGGTGGCCAGAAGGATATTGTCATCAGCAAACATTAAATTATTGTAATAATCAGTTTTGTTAGTGAAGAAGGTGACGTAAGTTATATTGATAGTAAGAATAAATTGATCAATTGCTAAAACCCACTTTTATTGCCTAGAGTTTATTAATGTTTTACATCTTGCCTACACTGAAACTGACATAAAGGACCACATCCATAATAAAGGCGTTACCTTGGTGATCTATTCTTCGACTTGCTGCTCCGTCGGTGCTCTCTCTGCCTCCTGTCGGCCTCCGAGGCGCTGCCGCTGGACTCAGAACGGCTTCTATGCTGAGGCCCGCGGCGGACCGAAGCTCCATGGTTGGAGGCCCCGCTGCTGCTGCTGCTGGAGCTTCTGGCTCTTCCACGGGCGGCTTTTCTGGCGTCTGCAGACCTACTGCGGCCTCTCCGCGCATCCGGAGACCGCGACCTGCTTAATTTAGACTTATTTCGCTTATCTCTACTCCGACTTCTGGACCTGCTCCTGTGTCGCGACTTCGAACCCATAACGAACGTAAAGGGTCTGAGAGGGATCCTGTCGCGTAAATATGACGTAACAATGAGCTAAAGGGAGAGTTTGCTGTTAATAGCTAGAGCACATAATAACTACTAGCCAGTAATATATGTAGATATTTTTTAAAAAAACATACACTGCTATGCTACTTAGAAGTAAATCCAATAAGGAATACAATCTTAATTCAGATCACCAAAATCTATTATTAAGGCACGTAAAAGCCACCTATAGAGGCCCTTGTTAAAACGGTGGCACAAAATACACGTCATAAGAAACTACAAACCATAAAAAACAAAACAAATGCAGAAGCTTAGTATCACTTATTTTGCTCTTGTTGTTTCTCCTGTTCTTTCTTTATTTTTATTAATTTCCATTTTCCTCTTGTATTCGATGATGTGTTGTTCCTTTGTTCATTTTCCTGCCAAATCAATTCAGAATTATATTGTAAATGTAATTACATCACGTGCAAAATACCATATAAATCCAAATTCTCTAATCACAAACCCTCATTTGTAATTTTTTAAAACGGAACACAAACAATACCTTATGACAGTAAAAGATTATAAAAACAAGAAAGCTGCCAAAACCTTTGATCTATGTCTGCTCTATAAGATTCTCCATTAAGCCCTAGACATCCATTGTTAGCAATATGCAACAAACCCTTTGAATTATCACAATAGCATGTGCATTCCCTCAGTGCCAGTATTCAGTGAACAGGAAACTTTGGCAAGCTCTTATTTCTGTTACAACTGGTCCTAGCAGTGTATGTTATTATATAAACACACATATATGTATATCAATTCAGAAGTAAGGTGTTAAGAACTCTCTAATTTTCTTAGTATCTGATAACCTAAAATGTATTATCCGGTTGTTCACCTGTTATTGTTTCTCTTGTAATTAACAACTGTCAATAAAAACCATAAAAAATAAAATAAAATCCGCTGCACACACAGTAATATTAGGTACAGTTAGAGTATGAGATTTCACAAATATTCAGCCCTCCTCTAGAAATCATCTTCTGAACACCTTCCAGGCATTTTCAAGCTATTTAGTATTACATCAAGAAATAAGAAACTATGCAAACAGGTACAACAAGAATCAATATTTGCTAATATGGATTTGATTCCTTTGACAAAATTTAGGCTATTCTGAATGTATATCAAATAATATCAACCCTTTTTAAAAGTCCAGGATCCAATCAACAATTTTGCAAGCTGTTTCTCTCTTTTATTTCCAGACATCTTTAATACACATATTAAGCTTTTATTGCTGATATTGATTTTAGGTTCTCTTTTAGGTCTTTTTATTTTGAGCCCGACTCAAAAAAAAAAACAAACAAAAACGCATAAGTCCTAAACCATTATCCATTATTAACACACACAAAAAGAAATATGTACATACACACACACACACATATACAT